ATCATGACCTGAGCCGAAGGCAGACGCTTAACGACTGAGCCACCCAGGCGCCCCTCAGTAATTTTCATACTGACATATTGAGGTAATACTTCAGATATATTGGGTTAATAAGAAAAGTTACTACTTTCCCTTTTCTTTTTTAATGTGACTACTAAAAGATTTTAAATTATATGTGGGGCATGTATTATATTTCTGTTGGACAGTATTGGACTAGATTATTGAATTACATGGACTAGTAATTTTATCTTAAATTTTGGAGACTAAAACTATAGTTAGCTTTCTATTTTTTCAGGTTAGGACATTAAAAAAATTTTTGCCATTTATAGAACCCATTATTTCATGAAGTAAAGATATTTAAACTAAAGAAATTGGGAAGGCTTAATCACAGAATAAAGTTTGGTTTTCTAAATAAAACAAATAGAGCTTTATGAAAAAAATTACATTTCCTGATTTTTCCTTGACCTAATGAAAACTACATCATGGAATAGCACTAGTCCTTAAACCTTCAGTAACCACTGATACAGTCCAGACATGGAAGTGCATCTTACCACAGAGTCTAGCAAGGTGTTCTCATGCTTTCCCCAATACCAGTAGGAAGGATTTTTTTTTAAAGGTTTTATTTATTTATTTGACAGAGAGAGAGCACAAGCAGGGGAAGTGGCAGGCAGAGGGAGAGGGAGAAGCAGGCTCCCCGCTGAGCAGAGAGCCCGATGCGGGTGGAGCCCGGTGTGGGTTGAAACCCTGGGATCATGATCTGAGCTGAAGGCAGCCGCTTAACCGACTGAGCCACCCAGGCGCCCCTAGGAGGAAGGATATTACATCGGCAGTTTTACAGGCGGTTGAGTTATTTTTCATGTAGAATTAACTTTGATATGTTTATAGAACTAGACATTTTATACTTAGGAAATACTCTATTCACAGTTACCTATTTCTTATACCTTAGTTGTTTCAAAAGCTTGAAATGCCCTTTGCTGACAGCACAATTCTTTGAGCAGTCCAAAGAAGCTGGAAATGATCCTTTAAGATGTTTTGCATCTGAAATAATAGTAAGTATAGCTATTTAATCTGCCATAAAATCTGCTATAATTTAAAATGTTATCCTGCTATATTCTCATGTACTGCACATGGGCATGTAAATTGATACATTATTAATGTGATATGTATTTTTTGTAGAACATAGATAAAAGGATGGAAAATAAACAGCAATATTATTTGGGTAATGAAATCAACACCTTCCAGACTTTGCTTTTGTAGTCAGAAATAAATATATACATAGGTATAATTTTTTTAAAGATTCTATAGCATTATACATACTCCTTTGTAATGTACTTTGTTTCTCTTAGCATATTATGAATATTTTTACGTTGTCTTTTTGTTTTTGTTTAACTTGGACCATCTAGCTCTACGTTTTCTCCAATTTTTCAGCATTATAAAACAATTCCAACTTTCTTTTTTTAACTGTTAAGTCTGTGATAAGTATCCTTTTAACCAAATCTTTGCATATTTCTTTAGTTGTTTTCTTAAATTTCTAGAAGTGGAATTTCTGTGCCAAAGGATATTCTCACTTTTAAGACTTATGATAAATATTTTCAAAATAACTCCAGAAATAAGTAAATTTTATTTTAAAAGTAATTTGGCTTAATGCATCCAAGAGTATTTTTAAGTGTGTTGGGATTCTATATTAGGGAACTAATTTGAAATATGGAAAATATGTACTTGAGATTGATAGTCATGAATTTCAGGTTAGAGCAGTCATTGTGGTTGTGGGTTTTCTTCAGCCATGTTCAGCTGTATAGGAAGAAAGTTGGATTTAACTAGGTCAGAGTTTTGAGAACTGTGTGAGTTCTACAAAGCAAGAGAGGGGGAAAGACATGTATGCAAGGAAGTGACTGTGATGGACAGTAGAATTTAAGCTGAGTAAGGAAGGAAGTTTGGACGTACTAAATGTGAGAGACAGTGGAAAAGATGATGGGATCACTGGATTGTAGTTCCCAGTGTGACTGACAAGTTGTTGGAGCTAGGTTACTAAAAGGAATGAGCTGAAAAGATTGGAGATTAAAGAACAGGATGCTTGAAATAATACTGTGGAAAAGTTCAGTTACTAATAACAATGCCTGGGGTATGACCATGGAGTGGGTGGGTGTTCTAAGGAGCGGGTGGAGACTGAAATCATTGGACTAGACAGTGAAGTACCTGAGAGTCCATGGTATTAGAAGTTCTTTGGTTGTACATTTAAGTCACACAATTATAAGAATAATGTCCAAAACCCAATTAATGGAGTGACCTTGGGGTAGATGTTGGATAGTCACATGAAATGAGTTTCAAAGCTGAGGGGTTCAGAGAGGATGGGGCAGAATGGTCTAAAAGCAGCAAGGAGAATAGGTATTTTACTTCCAGGCTTGGTATAGTGGATATGGGTGAAAAATAGCAACTCTTTGAGAGGTCTGCAGAGAAAATAGTTGTTTTCAGAAGAGTCAGATTTCTTTTAGAGCAAAAGAGGTAAGAGACAATTTCATGAAGAATGGATTTTGCTAATAACTGAGTTCCACAGGCCATACTTTGAAGGGTACCTGAGATCTGAGAAGAGGTAGGAGAAGGGTTTAGAAGAGGAGATGCCAGAAATTTAGGGGAACTAGATTCTGAGGATAAGAAATAATCTGGTAACTAATATAAATAGGGTTACATAGTTAATGGGGTTAATGCTGATGGTCAAGATAGTTGAGAAGAGGCTCTGAGTGATGTAGAGGGAGAAAAGGGGAGGGGTTTCCCAGGAGACTGGGGCCTCCTCATTGTTGCCAGTGTTAGCGTACAGCATAATCCCCTGGATATAGTATAAACATTACCTTATATGATAAATGTACCCTATTTTGAGAAGATAGATATGAAAATTGGTAACTGTTGCAGGATTTTAAGCCTGGGAGTGATGTAATTGTTTTGGATTCATCACATCAGTGGAGGTTGAATTTAACCAAGATAAGATTAGAAATAGGGAGATCCTTAGGTGTGTTTGGGAGTTAAGTGAGAAATAATGGGATCCTTGAAATGGTTGTAGAGATGAAGAGGAGAGAGCAAAATAAAAAATTTGGTCATTAATTGGATTTAGAAAATTTAAAAAGTTGATTCATGGATGAAGTTTTATGCTTGGGTAACTGGGCAGATGATTGAGATAGAGAATACAGGGCAAGGAACAGGGTGTTTTGTGCTTTAAAAACATTTTTTATTAAGATAATTTTAAAAATCCAGAAAAGTAGAAAGAACAATATAACGTAACCTCATGTACCCATTACCCAGCTTTAACAATTTTGACATTTTGCCAATCTTTTTTTACTGTAGTATTTTATAGCAAGTCCTAGACCTATCATCCATAAGTCTTCAAGTACGCTTCTCTAATTAGTAAGGACTTCTAAAAATAGCCACAATTCATTATGACATCTAACAAGATTAACAGTAATTTCTTTTTTTTTTTTTAAAGATTTTTATTTATTTGACAGAGATAGACACAGCGAAAGCAGGAACACAAGCAGAGGGAGTGGGAGCGGGAGAAGGAGACTTCCCACGGAGCAGGAAGCCCGATGTGGGGCTCCATCCCAGGACCCTGGGCTCATGACCTGAGCCGAAGGCAGACGCTTAACAACTGAGCCACCCAGGCACCCCTTAACAGTAATTTCTTAATATATATTTAATTCCCAGAGAGCAGGTTTTGAAGGGGAAAATTTTGAATGGTGATCAAATTTTGATGAGATCATCTAAAGAGGTAGTTAAGTGTGAGAAAAGAAAAGGGCATAGGACTGAACCCTACAGAGTACCAACACTTAAGATAAGCCTACCAAAGAGACCAAGAAAGAAGGGTCACAGAGGTGGTACAGATATCACAGAAACTGGGGTAGTAGAGTTTAAGGAAGAAAAAAGTGATTGGTCATGTTACATGTAGCCTGTAAAGTAACAGTTGAAAAGCATCAATTGGATTTAGAGAGATGGCATTGATAATTTTTTTTTTTTTTTAAA